CTCCTCCTCCTCCTCCTCCTCCTCCTCCTCCTCCTCCTCCTTCTCCTCCCTCCCAGGAGCCACCTGGCCCTCTGAGAGGAGCCCCGCTGCTCTGGCTGACACAGCAGGGGGTCCAGCTACGAGGGGGCGGTGCAATATAGATCTGGTGCCATAGATATTGACCTGAGGAACCCTAAATAAGAAACGAGGCCCCTTTTCCCCATAAGTTAGTTGAACTTCGATTTCCCATAGGAAACCTAAGAACAACCTAAGAAAAACGGTAAAACCATGAAGGAACATTGAGCCCCTCCCCAACGAAAAGGGTTCCTTATTCAGCGGCCCAACTATACACTTCGGGGCGCAAATGTTTTGCTGAATGTTCATGTGCACTACACTAGTTGCAATGCAATGAGATCCAGTCTCCGGAGCAATACATGTGCAATGCAATTGCCCAAAATCTATTGCACCACCCCCTTTCGGCTGGGCTCCCTTTTGGGTCACCCGAACTTGCGCGCGCCGCCGACCAGCCTTGAACTTCAGCTTGGTGCCCAGCTCGGCCTTCTGCCAGTCCCTGCGGCCTGGGCACTGGACCCGCGCCGCCACCGTCGCGCCGAAGTTCACCCACAGTGTGCCCCCGCGGAACCCATCCTTGAACCTCGTGAACCTCCCTTCGACGACGCCAGTGACGAGCGATCCGACCTCCACGTCTTTCAGCTGGGTCTGCTTGGCAGCCCTGCCCGCGACGCGATCCTTCCAGAAGAGGGCCAGTTGAGACAACGGCACTTGGCCTTCGGGTGGTCCCCTCGCCACAATGGCTGGACGCAGCCCCGAAAGCTGGCGCATTTGGACCCCTGGATGGGTCCGGGGGCCGATGTATGCTGCCGCTGTCTCAACTCGCTCTGCTCCGATCCTTGAGCCCCGGCACGATCACGTCGGCGAGCCCCTGCTTCCGTTTGATCGTCTTGATGACCATGTCGATCTTCTCCCCCACTCTGAGCAGTTTGACCTGGGCAGACGGCAGACTATGCACACCACCACCAGACAAGCTCAGGCCCAGCTCGAACCCTGCGTTGGTGTACAAACACTTCCGGCGTTGCCCCAGAGAGGTCGTGTGCCAATCCAGGGCCCGAGGTGGGCGCAAGCTGGCCGGTGGTGATATATTTGCCTTCCGTGGGTGACCAAATCCTCTGGGCCCATTATCCTGGCAAGCTTCTTGGCGCCAATCTCTGCCCACGTCTCCCCGTTCGCAACCCTCGATCGAACGGTGCCCAACAGATTCTGCTTCACAACCAAGCCCTGGAACGGGTCCTCTATCGAGCCGCTGGACTTGTTCCCCTCCTCCTCCAGCAGAAGGGTGAGCGTCCCATCCTCGTCGACGCAGTCCAGGACGAACCCCCCGACGAGCTTCAGCATCACGCCCTTCGACTCGTGCCGTTGGAGGTCGCTCCCGTCCAAGCGCATGGATCTCAGCTTCTCTCCAGCGTTGCGCTCGATCCTGGCGACCTCCTTGAACCCCCGCGGCGGCCTGTCGGCCACGAAGTCAGCCAGGCCAGCGAAGGACACGTCGATCCTTCTTTGGTCGACTTCCACGCGCTCGACCTCCAGGCCCCCCCCACAATCCTCCTTCTCCCCCTCCTCCTCCTCCTCCTCCTCCTCCTCCTCCTGCTCTTCCTCCTCAGCCGTTACGGCGCAGGTGGCGACCCTGCGCGTGCGCAGCGACAAACACTCGTAACGGCTAATTGTCGTTGCGGGCCAAAGCTTTCAAAGACTCCTGTCGGAGATTTCATGGCTCATGGCGGCGGCGGCGGCAAAGGCGCGGCGGCTGGCAAAGGCGCTGCTGCTGCTTCTGCTCGGCGCACTTCAATGCCACCATGGACGGAGGAGCGACGTCGTCGTTGGGGAGGAACCTGGACTCGCACCTGGCCTCGTGATACGAGCCAGGACGAGGACTGGGACTGGTACATCTCCGATGGGACGAAGCGCGGTGTCACTTGCCCTAACCCCAACTGTGACTGCAAGAAGAATCTCAAAGGATATATCTTCTGTCGTCAGTGCGGGACATCACTTACGGGCAAGGGCAAAAAGCAGCCACAGGAGACCTCCGATGGAGGGATTCTGTCTGCTCCACCCCTCGCTCTCGAATGGCCTCAGCCTCTGCTCCCAGGGCCAGTCAAAGGAACCAAGGGCGGAGGCAAAGCCAAAGACAAAGGAGCGGGAGCGGGTGGGAAAGGAGGAGACGACAAGCGAGGTGTACCCGATGGGCGCACCGCTCAGGCTCCGTTGCCTCATGGCCCCGTCACCTTCATGGATGCTGACAAAGCTCAGAAGCTGGCGGATATGGCCCGAGACGCTGGAGACCCGTTGGGTGAACAGCGCTACTTGGGCCTGGTGGCTTTGGCCAAGGCTGCCCAGCCTTGCCCACCCACCACGAGGCAGCGCCTGGAGAAGTTCGAGGGCATCCAGCTGGAAATCCAGAACCAGATCCAGCAGGACCTCGACAAGCTCGACCGCTGGGCGAAGTCTCGAGACGCTGTCCTCGAGCGGGTGGCCAACCTCAAGGACCAGCTCGAGCACGCCAGGCAGGAGCACAAGCAGGCGGTGCTGGATCTTCAGTCCCAGTACGCCGCCGAGACTCCCAAAACGGCCCCCAAGATCAGCATCCGCGAGATCTGCGAGGGCCGGCTTGATCTGGAGAACATCCTCACCATGGATGACTTCTTGGGGGCCCAGGAGGCGCAGGAGCTGCACGACCTCGAGTCCCAGGAGGTGGAGGAGCTCACGAAGAGGAAGGACGAAGTGGCGCAGCAAATCCAGAAGGGGTTGGCCGACTACTTCAAGGCCTCCCTCGACAAAGCCAAGGCTGCCCAAACGGCCCAAAAAGAGCAACTCCAACGGCTCGAAGGCAAGAAGAGGAAGATTGGAGGAGGAGACCCTGTGCCAGGCACCGCAGCGGTCGGCGCCGATGGTGCTGGCTCTGCTCCAGCGGCCTCTGCTGCAGCTGCTGCCGCACCCGCTGCCGCCGAGGGAACCAAGCCTGCGGCTGAAGGTGCGCCCACATTCGAAGAGCGTCTGGCGGCTGCGATCCAGGAGCGCGAGACGAAGAATCTTTAGCAGCGATCCGTCGCGAGGCGCCCCAGGACCTCCGCGATACGATCCTGCCCACCTCGAAGCTTCGCGCTCGGGGCGGGAGGTGGAGCATCGTGTGGAGGGGGGAACGGGCACTGGTTCCTCGAATGCCCCAGGACCTCTGCGTTGCGATCCTGCCCAGCCTGAAGCTTCGCGCTCAGGTAGGGAGGTGGAGCAATGCATGGAGGGGGGAACGCCGTCTGGGACATCATGCCCTTTGCGGCGGGCTGCCCTGGAGCCAATCCAGGGAACGACGACTTCGAAGATTGCAACGAGTTCGAGTGCGACGTCGAAGTTTTGGACCCATAATATAGTGGACCTTGATTGGCCTGATGCGGGCTTCCCAGTCCCCGCGATCAGGACGCAGCCCACCGTCTCCCTGATAGGGACTTTGGAGCCTGCCGTGCCTCTGCAACAAGCTTCTGCAGTCTTGGAGAGCATTGACCTCACAAGTGATGAAGTTTTGGTGCATGAACGATGTGTTGACTTGACCGCTGACGAAAGCAGTCCAGAGACGACCACTCTGCAACAGGATGAAAGCAGTCCAGAGATGGCCACTCTGCAAAGTGAGGGTGTTTGCATTGACCTCACTTCTGACTGTAAAGTTTTGCTTCCGCCAGTGGCGGTAACCGCTGCAGGCTCCGATGGAGCAAGTAGTGGGGACCAACCCTTAATACCTCTAGCGAGTCAGATTGAGATGCCGTATACCCTCAAACTGCACTCTCAGATCACGGCCCCAACTAGGACCGTGCACACGCGAGGCGAAGCCACTTGGAAGCTTGCGACGGTCAATCTTACATCGGCCCAAGCGGAGGGACAGAAAATCTCAGCCGTTGGAGCGATGCTCGCACGGCTGGGATTTGACGGTATGGCCATCCAGGAGCATAAACCTCTCAAGCAAAAGACGGGAGATGTCATTGCCAGGTTAAAGCACGAAGGATGGCACGCAGCACTCACCTCCGCGAAAGAAGGCAAGACGATCCATGCTGCGTCCGCAGGGGTTGGTGTCGCCATGACGGCTGACATAGCCATGGCAGCACCGCCCTCATTGGGACGATGGTTTCAGCACCCGCAGTCGGAGAGGTTCCATGCTCAGCTCTGCGAAGGAATGGTACCAGGAGGCTTCTACTTCATCTCCTGCTACTTTTACTCGGGTACTGGGGTCGAGTTGTACAACAAACACCTCCTCAGAGACGTCTTGGGATGGATCAAGGCCGTGGGGCGACCTTTCATCCTAGGGGCCGATTGGAACATGACGCCTCAGGAGCTCGTCGACCTTGGGGAGCTCAAGACTTTCCCTGTAACTATTGTGGCGCCGAATGTCTAGACATGTAGTGCAGGAAAAGGGAGGGCCATCGACTACTTCCTCGTCTCTGACACTTTGCGCGGCATGGTCAAGTCAGTCTACAGGATTGAGGGCCTGCCTATTGCTACGCAATGGGGTGTTGGGATCACCTTGAAGAAAGGTGCAGGATCCATCTTGGTTCAACAAATGTGCCTACCTAAGCCACTGCCGACGGAGCTCCCGATGGGAGCTCCGCGGCCGCCACCAGACTATACGGAAGTTGTAAAAGAAACCGAGCTCGTTCGCGATCAGGAAGACCTGACTTGGGCCTACGCCTTATGGGCCATGCAGGCCGAAAAAGAGCTCCTAGATCGATATCAACTTCCTCCTGATCAGGTTCGGCCGTATCAAGGGCGCGGAGATCTTGATAAACCAAAGTTTAAGTTGGTGGCAGCAATCCGCAGTACCTCTGAGGCAGTGGCTGAAGGCAGTCAGCTATCACGCTGGTGGCGCAAGGCGGGCAACACGTGCATTGACCTAGCCAATGCAATGCACCGTGGGATGGCCGTCACGACCAAGTTCATCCAGGATCGCCTCCGCACCATCAGAAAGCTCCGGAACATCAAAAACACAAATGTTACTTGGAATACCTGGATCACGCGCGCTACGGCGGAATGGTGCTTATGCGACGACTGGCTGCGAGACATGAGCTGGGCTGCGGCAAAAGAAGCAACCAGCATCGAAATCAAGTGTGCCAAGAAGCGACTCACCCTTTGGAAACGCGAGGTGCAGACGCAAGTCCAAAACACCACCGCCAAGGCGCACGCTTGGAGTAAGGCGCCGCAAACTTGGGTGCCTGCACGCGCAGAGCATCAAGGAAGAGGTGTAGTTGCTCACGCACAAAGGCTCCAAGAAGATCTAGATGTCTGGAAGCAGGTTTGGGAGCACGCCGATGGTGCTGCTTCCTTCTGCGAAAAGATACACGACTTCGGCGATGAGGAGCCTCCACCAAAGCTTACTCCTCAGGATGTCAGGGCTGCTGCCAGAACCTTCAGCTGCAAAACTGCCTCGGGCACTGACCGAATACGGCCTCGTTCGATGGCGATGCTTTCGGATGAGTGCCTCGCGGCATTTGCTGAAGTGATGCATCAAGCGGAATGCCTCGGCAAGTTGCCTGAGCATTTACGCAACACTCTGTTGCCTCAGTTACCCAAGCCCGACGGGGGGGCATCGCCTGATAGGCTTGCTCCCCGACGCGCTGCGCGTATACAATAAAGCCCGCAAGCCACAACAGGACAGGTGGAATGCAGGGCATAAGAGGCATTATGAATATGCCAGTGCTGGCCGCAGCACGGAACAAGCAGTTTGGAGGCAAGCCCTGATAGTGGAGGCCACAAAGTCCATGGGTAAGCACACAGCAGCGGTCCTCATAGACTTGGCCAAAGCGTTCGAGACCATCGATCATGACCTCCTCTGGGACTCTGCTGCGCGTCACGGATTCCCACGACGCAGAATGGCCATGCTGTTACACTGTTATGGGGGTAGAAGGTCCATCAAATTTGGATCCCACATGAGCAATGTTATCATGACCAACCGAGGAGTGATTGCAGGCTGTGGGTTCGCTGTAAGCGTCATTAAATGTTTTACCATGGACATTTATGACAGAATGTATTACCTGTGGCCTAGTATCGACCTCTCGGTGGTAATCGATGATTCCACCGTGCAGGCTGGAGGACAAACAAAGGACGTTGTCAAAACTGTCACTCAGGCAGCTCAGTTTGCTTGCGAACACTTCAAGCAGCGCAGAATGAAAGTTAGCCTGGACAAAGGTCAAGTTGTTGCTAGCCACGACAAAATTGCCAGGCAGATTGCGGTGCAGCTTTCTTCATATCGCTTTCAGCTCAAACGGATCGTCAAGCAGCTCGGTGTTGACCGACGCATGATGAGAGCTGGAAGGCCTGTTCAAAGCAAACGGGCCTTTAAAATGAAAGTTCGCATTACACGCGTTCGCAGGCTCGCGTGTGGAGGACGATCAGTTTGTCGGCTTTACAGAGCTGGAGGACTACCTGCTGTTACATATGGGATGCGTGTATATGGCGTTCCTGATGCGCAACTTGCTAGTCTTCGAGCCACCGCTGCTTTTGCCATCTTCGGGCCACCTCGTCGGCGATCTCGGACAGTCGAATTTATGTTGTCTGACGACCCGAAGTGCGACCCGACCTATGACGCCAACGCGCTGCCTCTGGTCACATGGCTGAAAGCATTATGGCTTGGATGGGCCACTCCAAACCAGATGAAGATGGCCCACAGCTACGCGGTGAGCAGGCCGGCCAACTGGGGAGCAGTACTTGGACCAGCTGGAGCCGTACTACTCACTCTTAAGCGGCTGGGGTGGGAAGCCATCAGTTGGGACAAATGGTGCATACCCAGTAATATGGCCAGCCTTATAACAGCACAGGGTTCGAGGCAGACTGCGATGCAGTCTGTCTCACCCCAAGGTCTGCTCATAAACTTGCATGAGATCGGGGTTCACACGCTGAGGAAGTTGGTGGACCAAGCCACTACTGCAAAGATCTTAAGCGAGTGCCGTCTGGAAGGTTTCGAAGGAGTACCTCTACTTGAACCCGCTGCCAAATTGGTGAAAGAGCTCAGAGAAAAAGAAGATTACCTAGGTGCGCGTTTGATTCGGACATGGGTTGCAGGGGGGTTTTGGACGCAGGATCGCCTCTTCCGACATGGGGCGGCACCAAATCCCATGTGTGCCTTATGTAAGCATGAAGAAGGTACCCCGTCACATCGCTTATATAGTTGTCTTTATCATGCAGCAGAAAAGGCAAGATTGGTGCGGTGCTGAACGCAAGCTTCTTGCACAAGGGCGTGTGGAGCACGGTGACAACCACCCCATGACGTACATTACGTGCAAGGGCCTCTTCCCTGACCCAGCCTACGACCCGAAGTACGGCTTCCCACCTCCACATCAGTATGACCGTGTTGTCTGGTTCCGCGAACCGCCCAATGGAGGGTTCGAAGGGCTGGTGTGCACTGACGGATCGGGGAAGCATGCTCATCATCCTCTTCTGGCGCGTGCTGGCTGGGCAGCCGTCATGATCGATGATCGTGGCGGCGTGCTAGGGGCTGCATATGGCCCAGTACGTTTCCCATGGACGTGCTCGGGGGCAGGCGAACTGTGGGCAGCGATCATAGCGCTCCGACACAAGGGGCCGAGAAACATCGTCATAGTCACCGATTACCTGGAACTCAAGAAAGCATGGGATCGTGGCGATGATTCAGGAGCTCACGTTCGAAATCACCTCGGGGAACTCTGGCGTGAATTCTGGCGCCTGGTGCACGACGTCGGGCGAGAAGGCATTGATGTGATCTGGATACCCAGCCACCGCAGCGATAGTCAGAGAATTCGCGATGCGATACCTCTGGCTATGTGGTTGGGCAATCAAGCAGCTGACGCTTTTGCCAAACAGGGCGCTTCGATGCATCCCAAAAATGGGTATGCCGAAACGCTTCGCCACGCAAGAGAATGCTCTGCCGTTTTCACACTGCGCATGGCTCTGAGGATACTCAGGCGCTGTGCGAGGTGCGATTTTGCCGACGCTGACCCTGTTCCCTATGAAGGGCCCACTCGTGCGAGACCACAGCAGCTCGACACGAGAGGGCATACTATAATAAAGCATGGCATGCAATACTACTGCGACACCTGCGGTAGAAATCGACACACGCGCAGAGGCCTCTTGGCACAACCGTGTCAGGGGCTTCCGCTGGGAGTGCGTGTTGCCCATAGTTCCCATAGACTATGGCGCAACGGGCCTCTCGTTTTCTGTGCCCAATGCGCTGCGCGATGCGAGACGCGCGCGCATTTAATCGCTAAGCCATGTATAGGACTTCCCGTACCTGGCACTAGCCGGTTTTACAAACGCCGCTACCTGTTGCAGGGCAAGGGCCCCAACGGGGAGCGGCTCGCCAACAGCGGGCGACCCACGCCCGTTCGCCGCTGATGCTTAGGGCACCAGCCGCAGCTACTGATAGTGGCTGCGGTGCGCGCAGCGTTGCTGTTTTTGGCCGCCCTGGCCGAAAGGGTGGGCCGCCTAGAGCACCTCGTTGCTACGCCGTCTCGCACCCTAGACTCTATTAACTTTATAGTTGTTGTATTGGCTTTTCACCCAGTTTGCCTGCGTGAATCGTCGTCATCGCCGAACCTCGCCGAACCTCCTGCTCTTCCTCCTCCTCCTCCTCCTCCTCCCCTCCTCCTCCTCCTCCTCCTCCTCCGCCTCCTCCGCCTCCTCCCTCCCCACCCGTCCATCATCCGTCGTCCGTTCACCTCCCTGTCTGCGCGCATGAGCACTGTCACAACGACCCCCCCCCTGACCCCCGACAAAATGCTGGTCGGCGCCCCGCACCTCCCGCGCATCATCTCCCCACGAGCAGGATGACGCAAGGCAGGCGCCGTATGCTTTTTGCAGGACCGTGCTCACACGAGAGAACGAGTACTTTTGTGGAGAAACGTCGGGGCATGATGGTTGCGATGTTTGCGGTCTTGCTGGGTGTCCTATGGTTGTGATGTGTGGCTGGTGTCCTAGGATGTACTTGATGGCTGTGATGCTCGCGGTATTGCCCTCGTGCTCGTCGAGCGGTACTCTAGGGTTGGTGCCATGTGACGTCTGTGATGGTTGCGGTGTTCGCATTGGTCCTCCATGGACGGGTTATACGCCTGATACCGCATGACGCCTTCGATTGTGGTTGTGTTCGCGTTCTTTCCCTCGCGCTATATTGGCTTTGATGGTTTCCGCGGCACTGCCCTCGAACTCTACAGCTGGTGCCCAAAGATTTCTTTGACCGCTCCACGGACGGTTTTCAATTAAAGTTGTGTTCTTGTGAATGTCGAACTCTTGCACTTATGCCGTATACATGATGCTGATGAATGGTTTTACGGTGTTTGTTTCCGCGGTGTTGCCGTTGCGGGCTGATACCCTATTATGCCTTCGCTGACTGCGAATTCCGTGTTCTTGTCATGATGCTTCTTGGATGGTGACATGTGAGCTATGTCCGCTAGTGCAACAGCCCCCCGTTGGGGATCAACATGGGATATCAGTTCAATCGTAACTTGTTCAGCCTTTCAAAATTGGCACTCGCGCTGAGAATTAGGCCACGTTTCAGGATCGGTGGGCTGATTGAACCGTTCGAAACGGCGCACGCGCCCCGCCGCGAGTCATACGTCTAGATCCGACTGCTTCCTCCTCGTTGCAGTCTTTCTCTTCTCCGCCTCCCTCACTGCCGCTGCCCACAGTGACCCCTTACCCCTGATGATAAATCCCTGGGGATAGTAAAGTTCGGCGTCTGGGTGGGGGATAATAATCGTTTTTCCCGGCGGGGGATGATGGTGATGAAGATGATGCTGATGATGATGCTGATGATGATGCTGATGATGGTGATGATGATGGTGATGATGCTGATGTGGATGATGATGATGATTATGATGATGATTATGATGATGATGATGATGATGATGATGATGATGATGGTGATGATGATGATGATGATGATGATGATCCTGGGCGTTCGTATAACTAGATCCTGGCACAAAACTGTCCTTGGTGT